TTTTTGGGGGGACAGAGAGAGACAGACCATGAACGGGGGAGGGGCAGAGAGAGGGAGACACAGAATCGGAAACAGGCTCCAGGCTCCGAGCCATCAGCCCAGAGCCCGACGCGGGGCTCGAACTCCCGGGCCGCGAGATCGTGACCTGGCTGAAGTCGGACGCTTAACCGACTGCGCCACCCAGGCGCCCCTGTGCTGTGACTTTTCAGGGATGGCTGGTCCACAGAATCGGACCTGTCTGACCCTGGAAGCCTGATCATTTAAAGTGACTTGGGTCCCTCCTACCATCTGCTCGCTTCATCTGACTCCTAACTGGGTCTCTTCTACCGTTTCTGGCATGAAAACCATTCTCTCTTATTAGAAAGTCAGAATAGGTGTGGGAAGCAGCAGAGACCTTTGACCTCTGAGCACACATCCGCCCTGCTCTTCTGAGCTCTGGCTGTCTTGGTACTCCTGTCCTTACCTTTTCATCCTGTCTCGGGAGGACCTGTTTCACCCAACAGTGAGCAGGGCTGCTAGGAGTCTCCACTCCGTAACTCACCACCGTCCTAGGCACCCTGTGAGGTGTAGACAGGGAAGGCTCTCCTTAAGGAATCCACGGTCTTGGGAGGGAACTCTGCCTTGCACAGACGGAGGGGTAGGGGGTCCACACCTCGTGCATAAGTGTGCAGGTCAGGAATCATCTGTCATCCCCTCCCCTGCCTTCTTTTACTACTTTCAGTAAAACTTTGTCAGGACTTTAATAGTTAGGATTATTGGACCAGAACTGACCCGCCCAAGACCCGACTGCTGGGTCCCACCTCCTCCAAAACCCTACTTGGTTGCTGTCTAGGAATCTGGGTTCAGATCCTCTTGCTCAAACTGCCCCCGGCCACATGGCCAGCCCCGCAGGCTGTGCACTAAGAAGTGTCTGGGCCACGACCTGACACTACCTGTGTCACCTTGGGCGAGGCTCCTCAGTCCCCGGTCTCGGGGCTGCTGGCCCCTCCCTCCGAAGTTGCTGTCACAGGGCAGTGGAGGCTCTTGAGCAGTATGAGGGGACCCACAGCCTGAGCCAGTGTCTGGCCAGGGCCGTCTCCTCTGCCCTCCCTGCTGCGGCCTGGGGGCTGGGAGGGGGGTGCTCCGGAACGGGGCCTCTGGGCCTCTGCTGGCTGAGCTGTTGATGACCCAAAGCCCAAGTCCCCGGTGCTTGGGCTCCATGCTGGAAAAGTGGCCTTGTACCACCTGCAGGTGACTCTACAGCTACCGGCGGGAGCGACGGGCTGTGCGCAAAGCACAGGGCTGGCCTGTGCTGTCGGCGGAGGCTGCCGTGCGCGGCTCTGACATGGAGGGACGTTCTTCTCTCTTGCAGATGGAGAAGGATGAGACCGTGAGCGACTGCTCCCCACACATAGCCAATATCGGGCGCCTGGTAGAGGTGAGTGGGGCTCTGGGCTCTGGGTCGCACCCCAGCGCCAGACATCCTGCCCCCAGGGGTGTGTGCGGGCCTGCGGGCCTCCTCCCCGGTGCGCAGCGCCTTAGCGGCCAGCAGCGTGTTTCTGTTTTGGCCCTTTTGCCCTGGGCTCGTGTGTTCCGAGCCTCCTGATGGGAATGCACGCAGGGCTCAGCTCCCGGGGCACCCCCTCTGTGCCCCCCAGCGCGTGCTCCCAGGAGGCTGCGCAGGAAGGCCTCGGTCCTGCTCCCCCGGCCCGCTGGGTGCCAGGAGAGACCTGAGCTCAGAGAGGAAGTGTCCCTACAAGGTCACGGGCTCAGGAGGAACTTCAGGAGGCTCTCCGGCCGCAGCTGCTTCTGCCTTCCCTTCCCCACGCTCTTTGGAGGAAAGGGTCCTCTCCGGCTTCACACAGTTGTTCCTGAAGTTGGTGGGGGGCCTGAGAGGTGGTGATGTCGTTTAGACTTGCTCCTGTCGTGGTCAGCGGTGGCCGCCAGTCCCTGAGTATTGGCTTCCTGGTGTCTGAAGCCTGGGAAGGGCTCAGAGCACAAATGATAGGCGGGGTCTTGGCCCCGAGGGGGCGTGGGGGGTGGCTGGCTCACTGGGCTTTGGTGCGGTCTCACGCCTCCCCCCTGTGGCCACTGCGGGGACTGCAGGGGTGAGCCGGTGGAACCGGGAGGGTGTGGGCCTCAGGACTCCCGTTTGCCATCCTGTCTGACTGACCTCCCTTCCCAGGACATGGAAAATAAAATCAGAAGTACGCTGAATGAGATCTACTTTGGGAAAACAAAGGACATCGTCAATGGGCTGAGGTAATGTACCCCCAAAACATAAGCTTTGGAACCAAAAGACGAGGATTTGAATCCTAGGTGTGCTGCATAACACTTCTCTGTCACTGGGCCTCAGTTTCCTCATTTGTAACACCTGCTGAAGTACCCACATCACGGGATCGTTAGTGCAGATTTTGAAAAGTCAGACCCCTCACGCACAGTTTGTATTCTCAGTAGACGCCGGTTCCTTCCCTGCTGTTTTTGTTGTCTTGGGCCTTTCACCTGGACAGGCGTTGGTGCCCTCGTCCCTGAAGTCCCCTCCTCTCGGTCCCCCGCCTCATCAGTTCCATCTCAGGAATCTGCCCGGACCTCACAACATGCGAGGGAGTGCAGCCCATTGGGCTCTGGGTCCCCCGGCTACTCCAGCGTCCTCCAGGGCTCTGCTGGCTATGGCCATGGTCCTGAGCCGCCCCTCCCCACCCATCTTCTGTCCTTGGTTCTGCAGCCTGGGCCCAAATGAAGGCTTGGAGGGACTCTCTGGGTCTCCAGAGGCCATGGGGGGACAGAGCAGGAGGCCAGAGGCCCACTGGGGGGCAGGTGGGGCGGCTGTGGAGTGAGCACTGGCCTTGAAATCAGAAAGCTGAGAGCCCGTATAAGTGCTGTCCACCCGAGCTGTGTGACCTTTGGCCGGTGGCTCCTCTACTTGGCCCTCGTCCCGTCAGGGAGGCGGGCCTGCCGCAGGGGTCAGGTGAGATGGAGCGCGCCTGGCCACCGTGTGAGGCCCGGGTCTGGTGCCCTGCCCTCAGCCTCCAGCCCTCTGATCCCCCGCTCCATGTGTGAGCCTCTCCTTTGGGGCCAAATCCGAGGCAGGAAGCCACTCCAGGGGCCACGCTGACTTGTGAATTCACCCAGGAGACAGATTTCTAGTCTCCTCCTCCAACAGTTTAAAGTAGCGAGGCGCCCCCTCCGGGTCTCCATCTTCCCGATCTCCCACCCGCCTCTGGGGAACACGATCTGGCCCCCGGTGGGTCGTACTCCCCGACTCCGGCAACACTGCTGTCCTCTGGTCACCCCGGGGCCAGAGCGTCATCCTCAGCAAACACACTCCCCGCCCGGCCTGGCCAGCGGCAGGAGAACGAGGAGAGGGACCCAGAGAGCCTGCGGGCAGGTGGTCGAGACCGTCCCCAGCATCGAGCTCTGCGGCCACCCCTTCGGGCCGGAGCGCGGGGGCCGTGACGACACTGCCCTGTCTTCGACCTCGCGTGTCCCTGCGTGCCCGGCGCGCGCCCGCCTCGGCGCTCCCAGTGTGTGCCGCCCTCGCCTCCCGCCGCGCTCATCTGTGACCACTCTCTGTAGATCTGTTGACGTAATCCCCGACCACCCCAAGTTTCAGCAGCTGCAGAGGGAGCTTTCCCAAGTGCTGACCCAGCGCCAGATCCACATCCAGCCTGATAACTAAGCCGACGCAGGTACCCTGCCTGAGAGGCGTGCGCACCCTCCCCACTAAACAGGACTCACCAGCCCGCCACCACCCACCCCCCCTTCCCCGGACCAGCTGTCGCTGCGCGCGGTCCTTTAAACACCACTAACCCCTGTGT